GGGGATGAACTGGGGAGAGATTAGCTTTCGGGACTTCCTTCTTACAGGATTTAGGTCAACCATGAAGAGAATGTGAGGATTGCTTACGATTCTGGTGTACCACGTCGGCGGGATCCTCGAATTCTTCGGTCCAAACGCCGTGACAATCTGCCTCAGACAGAGATAGATCCCGGCAGCAAGGAACGCCGGACCAACAGTCAAACAGCAGACTTGCACCAAGAAAGGATTCTCGTTCCACTGGTTCTTCCAGCTCAAGATGCGTCCCGTATACCCAATCATCTCGGAAATAATGCCAAACATCATGGCCACACTAAACATATTGGCCCGGCGGGTGCGGTACATAGTATACGCAAACCAAAAGAACGACAACGTGAACAAAGCGAGAAAGATGGCGTTGGCGACGATGGACACGCGGTAGGAGTAGAAAGAGATGACACCTTCCTTGCAGTACTCGAGGTCGGGCTTGAGGTAGCAAAAGGCGGGGAGCCAGCGAGCGAAGTCGACCTTGAGCTGGTTGATGACCGCCGGGGGAGGGGGGTTGTCTACGCTGTGGCCTGTGGAGGCGAAGATATAGTTTAGAATGCGGTCTGGGTCGACGCCTGATGGGTCTGATTGGACTTCTTGGATGATTTCCATCATTTTTGGGTAGTCCATCTTTGCTGAGTTGGCCGCAGTGTTGCGGTGTGTGACGAGGGGAGATGGATGTGGATGATGGATGAGGAGGGGGGATGGGCCAAAGGAACTTCAATGTCCTTTCAATGGCAGAATAAGACAAGGGGGTTGATGGCAAAACTCTCAGAGAGAGGAAAGAGGTCGGGAGAGAAGAGGGAGGGAAGCGTGAGGGATGATATACTGCCGACCTCTCAGGGTAAGCGGAAGCAATATTCTTTCGTGGGGGCAAGAAATCATGATTGAGCTTGCCGTGGCCCTCGAAAGCATTTGCCTTCGGCAGTCTAGATCAAGGGCAGAAAGCACCTTGATACGGGGCAAACGCTCCCCGTTCAATGCCCTCATCACCTTCCCGTACCATGCCCTTCCCGCAGATGAAGGGCCCTGTTGGATTCATCTCGTCCGACTCTGGCAGCGTTTGGGGGTCTAGACACTTGCACATGGCGCCGCTCGCCATGCAGGGGAAAGACTTAAAGCGGTGGGCAGAGTGCCCATGAGATATATGCAGGCACTGTAGATACTGTCTTAATTCGCTCATCACAGTGCTTTAGGTAGCTCCGTCATCTATGACAGTTTGTGGCGTCCCGAATAATTGAGCCCGTATCGGTTTGAGCTGAAAACAGTTTCTCCGGGCTAAATTTACTTGCTCGTTAAGTGGAAGAGAAGAATTCACCGAAGCATCTTCCACCATAACGAGGATCTCGGTGGCCGTGATTCCGCTGCTGACGTGAAAACTGTGCTGGCGTATATTCGACCATGAAGAAATTACAGATTCTGATGTTTCCCTCTTAACATAGCTACCCAAAGTATGAACAAAAACATAATGAAATCAAAACCACACGCAGTAGTCGAATTGCTCAAAGTAAGCAGGGGCAAGCGAGGCTACAAGGGTGTTCATCCAAACTCTCCTAGTCCGGAGCTTATTCCAATTTTTCTGCCTAGCTCTCCGCACTCACGGTGAGGTTGATCATATCGGGCCGCAACCCAGATATACTTTTGCTAAGTGAGGGGGAGCTCCCGATCGATGAGCACGTGCAGAGGTTGCATCCAACGATGAGCAGGAAAGCTTGGACACTGGTCCAATGTATTGAAAGATATCTCCTTACTTTAGTAGCCGCCAAGAAATGTCTAGACTGATAACTTCTTAGGTACAGACATGGAGACCATGTGGCATCAGAAGAAGGAGACATGCAAAGCACCGGGAGTCAGTTCGCCGGTTGGTCAAGCCAAGAGTACAGTGAATACATTACACTACGAAAGATGCGCTGTTTTGCCGCCTTGATCCAAGCCATATCCTACACCTCCCAGGCCCATAGCTTTCAATTCCTACGGCGCAACTGTCACGCGCTTCTTCTTCTTCCCGCCAGTCTTGTTCTCATCAGGAAGCACATTCGCAAGCCCCTTGGGGTCAATGGGATTCTTGGTGACCACGCCGCCCAGAGCCTTACTCGTCCCGAGACTGATACCCCTTCCTTCGCGCATACTATCCAGGCTCAGGTGGCTGCCTCCACTTCCGCGACGGACGCCGATGCCCTTGAGCTTGGACGTTGGCGACTCGCGAGTGTCCAGCGAGCTGTCCGGTCTCTCCTCGCCTTCCGCTGCGCGGCTGGAAGGCCTATCTGGAGAGGGCGACGGTGACTCGTCGTCGGCTGCAACTTGGGAGTATGGAGTGCGCAGGCGGGTGGTGTTATACGGGGAAGGAATCCCTGAGGGACGGTCCCGAATCTTGTTTTGAGGAGAAGGGGTCTCCACACTCTCGACACCGTTGCCATTCCGGCCCTCGTCCACAGCATTCGAAGTTTCGCTGGCGGAGACATCGCCAGAAACATCGCTGTCCCTATAAGCATGTTTCTTGTATGCATTCCCAGACCCCATGAGACTCTCTTGCCTCGCCAGCTGATACCGGTCGTATTCCTCCTTGGTATGTAGAGCATCGGTGAAACTGTCGAGAGCATCGAAAACGTGAGGGAACACCTGGACATTGTTGTCTTTACCCCATAGGAAGTCGAGGTGCTCATAGTGGGGAATCTCGGTGGCTATTGTCTGGGATGGGAGCTCCTTGAGCATCACTTTGATGTCGACCAACGAATCGCTACCGCCGTAAACAAGAACGATGGGCGTCTTGATGTTCCGTGTGGGGTATTTTGCGACCTTGGTGTACTTGCTAGAAGAGCTTATCGACATGGGTGGGTGGACGTCGTCATCGTACATTTGGAACGACTTGTTCCGGATAATCTGGAACCAGTGAACCACGCTCTTTGTGCTAGTGAAAGAGTATAGATGAGGGTATGCTGCAAGCTTTTGGCTGAGAGTGATGTTCTTCGTCTGCCAATTGAACAAAAAGGAAAGACCCATGTCAATGACTCTAACAAAGATGGGCGGGTAAAGAATGGACTGCCACATGGTTGCGGAGCTGAGGATGGATCGGCGGCCGAAGAGGAGAAACAGGACTTGAGGCGAGGCTTTGATTAGAGCATCGACGATTCCGTTGGAGAGACCTGCTGGCGACATGGCCGGAGCCAAGGCAATGAAGACGTTGACCTGCTGGTTTAGCTTTGGGTGAATAGCAAGGGTGGCAAAGGCCTGCGCAGTTCCTTGGGAGAACCCAATGTACGACAAGCTCTCCTGCGAAGTTGTCTCCAGGATGTAAGAGATGCTGTCCGGGATATCGTGGAAGGCGAACTCGTCAATCGAAAAGTTCCAAAAATCAGTCGACTTGGGCGAGTGATGCACCGACTTCTTGGAGTACTTGTTGCCGCGGTTATTTCCAAGCTACGTGGATAGTCAGCAAGTGCGCTCAAATTATTGCAAGGCGAAACACTGACCCAAACATCATAGCCCTTTTCGACGAGCACAAAAGGAAGACATCGCTGCTCATCGGTCAAGCAGACCCACACCTCGGAGTTCATGAGCAGCCCATGGTGAAGATACAGGACCTTCTTCTTCAAACTTCCCGGTCCGCTGTTGATCTTTTGTTCCTCTTCGCCCTTCTTCCATGCCAACCGGTGCAGACCGAGCAAGTAACCATCCTTGGTCTGGAGGACATGCTCCTCAGCTTCATATCCGTACAGACGGCAAAGATCCACAAAGTCGGAGGCGTCTCTCACGGAGGTGGAGATGGCTGCGCGGCAATACAAGGGTTAGCGCAAGGTGAATCACACATTTAGAGGTTGGAACAGCCGCCAGACAGACGAACATTTCTTCTTTTGCTCGGCGCGCTTCTGTTCCGGTGTCGAGAATCGGTTGAACAAGCGACGGGAAGCTCTGTAGAAGAGCGAGATAAGCGGCGAAGCTGTAGGAAAAGCGAGTTAGCTAGCTTGAACGCCACCGCTCGGAGGGAGGCGCATTTCGTACGCAGAGCCAAGGTCAGGATACGGATGATAGCCTCGAGCCCGACAAGTAGGAAGGACCCCACTAGAGCTACATATTCGACGCTGCGCAATGCCATTAGTGCCAGGCCAAGTCTTATTCGCGAGTTGCGCTGCATTGGAGAGGAGCTCGAGCTTCGAGAGAGGGGACGAGGGGAACCTTGGAAGGGCCAGAAAAAGGGAGACCAAGGGAGAGAGAGAGAGAGAGAAAAGAAAAAGGACGGTAGTCAAGCATGGCGGGCAAGGATGGCGGGCAAGGAGCATCTCTTACATGTTCAATCGCCCAATGAAAGGGATAGCCATCGTGGTTGCGCGATTGGAACGAGGTTAATCTAACGTAGAAGCCGTGGCGCGGCAGGAACGAGTATGTCTAAGAGAGGAGGAAGAAGAAAAGTGTTGCAAGGGGATTTCAAGCCATCATCGCTGAATGCGCAGACGACAAAAAGCTTAAGTGATTTTCCTAGGTAAGGTACTGTAGTTGTTCGACAGTCAATGGCAATGGCGTTGGTGCTGGCGCGGGCTGGGCGCAAGAATGTGTCAGCGGAACGAATCTGGAAGTGAGTGGTCCGCGGTGTGGGAAGTGTGAGGTTTCTAGAGGGAAGAAGACGTAGGTGATGTCACATGTGAGGATGAATGGGCATCCCATCTGGGTTGGAAGCTCCCAAAAAGGTCCAGGTCCCAAGGTCACAGCACACCTTCCCGAGTTTCCCACGCGGTGCCACGCCTCCTTGGCCCCCCCCCCCCCAATCATTCCAATCAACCAGATCTGACAGTGTGTCAGTGGCAGGGACGCTGGCGTGTGAGCACGCGGTTGGACAGAGGAACCATACATCCTTGCCAACTTGCCCCCCAAAGTGGGGTTGTACTGATTGAAGGACTGCAGGGACATCCAACTCTAGCGGCCCTGCTCTTGCCTCTGCGACTCTCGCACCTTGCAGAAGACCGCTGCATAGAAGTGGGGCTGTAACCTTTTCATTTTGGCCAATCACAAATGTGGTGTTTTTTTCTTTGGCTTTCCCGGGGGCCCGGGTGGGACCGCTCATCGCAAACTCGAAGCTCCGACAGCTCCCAGATAGTCGCACCACGTTCCGTGTACTCACTCGTCCACCGAGGGAATGCCAAACCACCGTCACCATGCCTAGCTCTTGCAAAGAACTGCGTACGCTCTCTTGCCCACTTCTATACACCCGACAGCATGCTAACTCCTTTTTCGCCCAGGCGAGGCTCTCGCGCAATGCCTCCAGGAATCCGAGTGCGTCATGGTTCAGCGCAACAGCGCCTCCGATTGCCTCCGATCGCCCCTCGTCGAGGGCCTCCCCACAAAGTGTCAGCAGCTGAAAAAGGGTTTCGGCGAGTGCAAGCGCGGCATGGTCGACATGCGCAAGCGCTTCCGTGGCAACATGCCCGTCAACTACAAGACCATGAACGATGCCGAGAGCGGAAAGGGGTACCAGCTGTACGCTGGACGGCCTGCCTTTGCCGGCGGCAGGGGCGACACCGACGGTAACGAGCCTGCGCCTAGGGACTGGCGCGAGGTTGAGAACGAGCAGTATCGTAAGGAGCAAGAGGCTGCGCAGAAGAAGTGATATGGAGGGAAAGAGGAAGACACAAGACATTGCTCTTGAGAGAGGGTGCAAAAGAGGAGGGGAGGAGGACAACCGCCAACGGCCGCGGCGTGGGATACAATACTTGTACAAACAATGTGTATGATCTGAAGAGCGAGGCATAGGGAGGCGTCATGGCGTTCTCAAAACACACAAAAACCGGTGGCCTTGTCTAGGACAGGCCCGAGCTGCATCTTCTTGGATCCTCACGACGGAACCACCTCGACTCAACAACGGGGCAAAGCATGCTTCTGTATTCAAAAAGGAATTCTAAGATTCGAACGACGATAAAACTTCTCCACTAGGAAAATTGGAAAATAAGTAGAGCGTCTGATCATGATGAGATGTGGAATTGGTTCTACGGGGTATGGCCAGAAGTGCATTTCGTGAGAACCCCGAGAAACCTGGCATCCCTGAGTACGTGACTGGTCCTGGCCACAATCGTTGTTCCAGGAGAAGAAGCTGCGCAGTTGAGCGAGTAATTCGTAGCCTTGTTGCGAACTCTTGACAAAACTGACGATAAAGCTAGTACTACTTAGGCGCCTTGCGTATATCAAAACAAGAATTCCGAAGGAAAGGTGAGTCACCCTGACAGCCAGAAGCCTATGAATCAAAGTCTCTTGCGCTCGCCGATATCTGCAATCGCCATCTCGCTATCAAACTTCAGCGTCAACTTGTTTATATCCACAGATTGTCTGCGAGCTCGAAGGAGTATGATATAAAGCCGCAAGCATACCGATCATCTCGAAGGTTGACCGGACAAAAAAGAGTTCAACACCGGTGTGGCTACATTTCTTGGTGCTCATGCTGGGATTCGAACTCGGGTACTCGGTAGTACCGCCTGTCGTCAAGTAGGCTATGGGCGTAATTGAATTGTTGACCTTGGACCACTCCACCACCCAGTCAATTTGACCTGACCAATCGACCTAGGAAGGCGCCTGATGTGCTGGTGACAGAAATGGACTTGGAGGGGTATATGAGGGCTTGTCGTGTATTCCTTCAGGTGTGTATTCAGGGCAGTTTGATTCATCGCCCTTATGACTCATTGCCTAGTCCTTATGAAGGGTTTTTATATTCCATGTTGACCGGGGATGCTTCGAAAAGTTGACTCTTTGTAAGTACCTGTTTTGGTAATCACCCGCTGATGTTTACTAGCCGACTAAGAACATATACTCCTGTCCCGGCATGTAGGCGTTGGCTCTTGTTTCGAGCAGGAAAAGACACAATCAACGGCGGAGTTTCCTGACGTTGAAACTACTCTCCAGTATAGCGCTACGATAGACGCAGGCCTTTGCAGGCGAACCTGGCTGATTATCCTTCCTCCATTTTATACAGCTTCTTAAACATTGTGATGGAGAAAGATATCACTGAGCACAATGAGTTGGGCTTGATAGATTATCTAATTTCGCCTTCGAAATAATCAGAACAGCTAAATTGTCCTCTAACATGGAGTTACCACTTGTCATTCTGTGGTATATGGAAGAACCTGAGGTACATCTACTTCATTTCATCAAGAACAGTTGGCGATGCACAAGCTCTTTGTCTGTAGTCACATGTTCATAAATCGGTACGGTTGTAGGCAATAACACTGAGTGCAATTGATTAACATTAGATTATGAGGCTAACCCATTTGCTTTCGAACATCAGTCCGTAAACCACCCGATCTTGCATCCAAGTCTCGAGAGCTGCCTCCAGATATCGGTCACTTTGCAGCCCCAGTAATGGCGGGAATTCACCTCCACTGCCCACCTCCCCAGATCGTCCCCTCTCCACAGATTATCTCCATTAAATTGTCCGAGTCTGGTTGGTCGGTACTCCCACAGGAGAACCATAATCCCTCGCACCAACGAAAAGGTCCAGACTTTGCAAGGGACCCTCCACGCAATTTCGGACCCGTGCCGAATCATTCCCGTATAAAGACGGGCATGGCGGCGCGGGCCCATCCCGAGCGCTTCACCGGGCTTGCCCAACTCTCGGCGTTATGATGGGCTGACATGAAAAAAAAATATGAAAAAGAAAAGTTTGGCGCCCCCTTCCCGCTCTGTCACTCTCCTCCTTCTCTAACCCGTCCTTATCTCACGGAGAGACCAGGCCAAGCGAGTCGGGATGGAAACCCCCAACCTTCTCAGCCCTGTTCTCTATCTCGACGAAGAGACCGAGCCCAGGTGAGGCAGGCGGGGATGAATAGGATCGAGCGGAAAGGGAAGAAAAAAGAAGAAGCGCCGTCGCTTCAGGCTCACGCGGCTCTCTCCAGCGGACTCTCGTCATCCGCGGCCAGCCGCGCCGGGGTGTTATAGTTGTGCCGCACGTTTGCCCCGGCGCGTGGACTCTTTTCGGACGGATCATCGACGCTTCAGGCCCATGCGGATGCCTCCCAGCGGTTTGTTGTAAAAAAGGGTTGGTTGAAGAATGGTTTCCGATTCTCGACTGGACTTCGACTGGCGTCCCATTGCCGCGTGCACAGGAAAATCGGAAATTTGAAAAAAGAAGTTTGCTCTACGCTTCCGGGATCAAGCCTCTCCTAGAAGGGAAACGATCTGGCCAGCGGAACAAAGAAAGATGCACTCCTGGCCTGTTCGACGTCGCAACATGACTGTAGGTTTATGATCGTGGCTTGGTTGGCGGTCATGGCGGCGGAACAAGGGAGGCAGGTTGAGACGATTTGGAAAGAAGAAACGCAGGAATCTTTGGATGAGTTTGGCGGAGAGACTCGGCTACGTGGCGAATTCTGTGAACGAGGGTAGAATTGCGCTGAAGAGAAAAGGAGAAGGAAAGACCGGTAGAGATGAAGGACGGACGAAGACTGATTTATAGAGAGCGTGAGACACTGTAAGTCATGCCAAATTTGATATGTGGTGAGGTGGAGTTGAAGTTGAGAAAAGGTTTGGGGCGGCAAAGATGGAGGGGTCAAGCCGCGCATTTCGGTGTGATCTGCAGCCGTGACACCCCTCCACCAGGGAAAAGGGCGCTAGCGGGCGTTGGTCCGCCTTGTTCCGGGGCTCGGAGCTCGAGGTGGAGGTACCTACGTCCTACTGGACGGCTACGGATACTCAGTAAGAGGCGCTGGTGGGCTGCGGGCACTTTGGCCCCTCTCTCGCTGCCCCTCCAACCCCCCCGGGCAGTTTCCAGCTTGAAGGGGACGTGGAAACGTCTCAACCTCCCACCCCTTCCCACTCCAAAGGACTAAAACCCACGGAAACCTGTGACAATCTCACCCTCGTCAATCAACGGTCCAAACCCCTCGGTGAAACTACAAGCGACTCGCACATCCTCCCAAGAACTCGATGGCCTGATGTCTGAAACTTGATTCTGCAAATCGTCGATCCGTCACCCTTCACACGTCGCCGGCCTGCCCGTCTGCCAAGAGCAATTACAGCTTACCTCACTCTATCTACCGAGTCTTACTCGCTTGCGGCATTGCATCCTCACTCCGCTTACCTTACCTCACCGAACCCGCGTCGTCCAATTGCTTACGGTCGTGCCCTCGACGCTCGTCTCGGCGTCCTTGTCGTCTCGTCAACTTCTCAACCGGCCACAGCGGGGCAGATAACGTGTCAAAAGACGCAACTTCAGCTTGTTGGCAATCTTTAACCTTATTCAGGGTTTCTTGGCAGGCACATTTCATCCCTCCTTCCGACGACAAAGTCGGGTCTGGGTCTTGGACAGAACAGCAACGCCAGAGCAGGCTGAAGGAGTCCTGCCGACTCTTTGAGGAAGTCCTGCTCCGAGTGAACCTTCGTTGAGGCTGCAGGTTGTGTCAGTAGAGAAAGTAGACGGACGGGCATTAGGCACTGCGAGAAACCAACCAGTGTTTCCAAGTCCGACAGGCATCCTCGAAACAACCAGAAACTGACAAAAACCACCGATCAAGATGGCCCCGACTATCATACAGTGGATCCTGGATACACGGCAATTATGGCCAGAGGCCACTGAAACGAAGCAACTCGAGCAAGCCGTACGTACTACACCCCGTTCTTGATCGAATTCGCGTTGCTGTTTGCCCGTTGCCCCATGCCCGTTTCGCGGCTCTGTATTATTCAAACATGTCCCGGCGAACCATTCCAAAAAATGCTCGTCCCAAGTTGTCCCCCCTACCTCCCTCCTCTATGCAATAGCAACTTCGAACTTCGAAGCTCCCCAACCCCTGCGCGCCATTTACCCCTGGAACCTTGGGACCATAGAAAAAAGAAGAAGAATAAAATGAGAAACAAACTGACACGAAACCGAACCCGCTCAAAAGGCATCCCGAGCTTTCGCACTCCTCACCGCCGACGAGCGTAAAGCCGTGCTAAAGTACTACCACGTCCGCGACGCGAAGCTGTCCCTGGGTTCGCACCTCCTGAAACGCTACGCCATCAGCCGCTTCTGCGGCGTCCCCTGGCACGATGCCACCGCCGTCCGCGACGAGCGCACCAAGCCCATCTTCCGCACTGCCGACGGCACCAGTCCGCTCAGCTTCAACGTGAGCCACCAGGCAGGGCTGGTCGCCATGTTCGCAGTCCACGGCTACGACGTCGCCGCCAGGGGCACCGTCGACGTCGGCGTCGACATCGTCTGCACCTCGGAACGCCGCTCCAGGGATCACGGCATGCTCAGCAAAGAAGGCTGGCCCAAGTTCGTCGACGTCCACGCCGACGTGCTCTCGCCCATCGAGGCCAGCTTCCTCAAGTGGCAGGTCCTGGCGGCGATCCCGCCGGGCTTGAAACCGGGCGCCTCGCTCGAGGACGCGGCCGACTTTAAGCTGCGGTGCTTCTACGCGCTGTGGTGTTTGCGGGAGGCGTACGTCAAGATGACGGGCGAGGCGCTCCTCGCGCCCTGGCTGGGGGATCTGCAGTTCAAAAAGTTCCGGCCGCCGACGCCTGCGGAGAGCTTCAGTGCCGAAGGCGAGGCGGTCGCGGATCATGAGATTGTTTTCAAGGGGACCAAGGTGGAGGATGCGAATGTGTCCCTGAGGGCTCTGGGTCCCGACTACATGACGTGCTCTGCTGTCCGGACACCGGAGCACAAGGAGGACGGGCTCGCTTTCGAGCTGGGGCCGTACAAGATGCTGGATATAGATGAGGTGCTCGCTTTTGGAGAGGAGCACCAGTAATTTACACTTGCTTACATATCCAGCTTTAATATAGATGTTCGTGTATCTGTCTCATTATTGAGGGTAATAACTTTGTATATCGCAGCACTCGCTGTAACTGATTCCAAGCTTGGATTGTTCCCAGCAGATCTTTCATACCTTATGTCTAGATTGTTCATCATTCTACCCTTGTTCTGAAGGAACGAGTTGGAGTCTACCAACCGTCACGCAGGTTCAAGCTCTCTCAAGCTTCTTAGACCGGACTCCAACCCCAAATCGTGCTAAGTCTTACAAACACACACATTCCAATCATGAGCATGTATGTGAGCTTCAGAGGGCCTCTCAGAGCATCGATGTAATACCAAAGCATCAGATCCACACAGCCTCCCTGGTGTCCCTGAGTCATTCTCATCTACTGATATCGCCCATCACAGCACTAAGCATCAAACCAGTGCTGGTATTGCCGTACATACATCGTGGTGATCGCAGACAAGCCATGGATTTATCCTTCTCCGGATGCGGGTTCAGTTGGGCCTCCAAGAACAGCTATCGTCTTTCTCATCCTAGGACCCCCAAACGTAATTGTAGTCAATGTAGGACTGTGTCATATGTGCTCATATTCGATGGTCACCAAGCAAATTTCCCTTGAGACAATTCCATGAGATAGAGGACATCTAGACCTGGGAGGTTCTACCACATTCTCCACGCCTGGTCTGTCATTTAGGACCTGGTCACGCGGGTAACAAAATCATCCGCCGGTCGTCTGAGCCAAAATTGCCACCTTCCCTCGATTATCTCCTTGATGTCTTCATTCATACCTTCATCGATTCCTTCGTCAACTCCCTCGTCGATTACATATTCGATCCTCTTTTCGACGCTTTGCATTCCAAGTATGGTTGACTCCGAATCCACAAGTAGTCATCGACTGTGTAGGCTCACTAATGATAGATAAGCGTCTAGACGTCCCTTGTTCTCAGTCATCCCGCCAAAATTAACATTGAATCAGTCGCCAAGATCCAGCATCAATATAGGTCCACCAACGCAAGTTCAGGCCGATGCGAGCTCAGGTCCCATATCCAATTCACCTTTAACCAGCTGCTCGGCTCCCTCTCCTCTTCCTCCCGTGGGATCTCCCCAAACGCCTCGATCGGAAACAACCAAAATCCGAGCGCCGGTCTAGGCGCCGCAGCCAATACTCCGGGTCCATCGAATTCGGGCCGCTTAGCCTGCAACCCCGATGCCGTCGAGAAGCACCCCGCAGGCCGATCACCGCCGCCACGTCCTCCGGCCGCGGGCGTGTCCCACCCGTGGAACCACCACTGCAGCTCAAGCCACCGAAAGTCCTCTTCATGAAGGACCCTTGCCGCATCCTCGCGGTTGCGGACGGCATCCTCCTCGCTCGAGGCGTACATGATGCGGACGTCCAAATCTTGGACCTGGCCCCTGTTCGTCATGTCCTCAGGCCGTAGACCGACGTCGCGAAGAAGCACACGCCAGCCGAGCGGGCCCTCCCTCGGATCATGCAAGCTCCCGCCAATCTTTTTCAGATCCCGCGCGATTCCGGCCCTTGGATCCGGCACTGGTGCGTCAAAGAAGGTGAAGCTCGGGAGCACAGGGACGCCGTAATTGAAGACGTGGACGCGCCTCCAGTCCAGCACGTTGAGGGCGCGGGCGCCGCGGGGCGTGCACTTGAACCAGAGGCTTTTGAGATCCCTTGCGACGGTGGTTCGAAATACGTCAAGGGAGGGGCCTTCGGTGAAGGTGCGCTTGAGTAGCGATGGGTTGTGGACCGATGTCCGGTAGTCGGGTTCTTCTATAACTAGGTGCTGAAGGCCGCGGCCTTTCGGGTCGTGGGCGCGGAGGTCGTGGATGAAGTCAAAGAAGATAATGTGCAATTTCCCGTATGAGACTCGGAGAAAGTCCCAGTTCAGGTTCAAGTGGATGATGTACGTTCTTTCGCTTGGTTTATCTGGCCTGAAGCGACATGGCAGTTGCGTTGAGTAGAATGACAACATGGCGTCTCGAGCTTCCCTATTCACTCGCATGATATCGGGTAAAAGGGATCGTCGAGTATTGATGATAGCCTTGTAGTGATACCCAGTCACCCAACGGCCCAGTCTGTTGAGGAGACCGTTGCTTTCATCGTCATCTTGTCTCTGTTGTTTCTCATTCTTCTCAAGGATAATATGTATCATGCGATGACGCTGTAACGCATGCTTCCAAATCAAAAGACGAATTTCTACCGGGAACTGCGGAAACAACACAAAGCTGGATTCTGTGGTTACTACAGGGCCTGGATTGAACAGCTCGAGGTGCGGCCGCCTAGGCATCGTCGTCTCCATCTTGAGGTTGTGGTTGATACATGATACTTTATGAAGCCCGCGAAAATAGGTAAACGGAATGGAAGATGGTTGCAAAAGCTAAGCCAGTACGAACCATTTGTTTCCTGACGTAAGGTCAGACAGGAATGCGGAGGTCGTGGATGTGGCGTCCAACGATGTCTCAAATCGTCGAGGCGCAGCTGTCGTGCCGTCCTCATTTGGGGAACACGGTATTGTACGTCCATCTACGTCTTTCCCGATTAGGAAATTCGATGAACTGAGGTAGTTGCGATATGTCACGGAATCCACCTCGGTCGCTATGGCGGACCGTCCAGATCGCCGTTGGTTGGCTGGAATCGTTCCTGGGAAGTCATCATAGAAGACGTAGAAGATGTCGAAGTCGATGCTAGGCCGTCGCTACAGGCAATAAATACTTACCTTGCCTAGGACAGCAATCTAGACGTCACTTGCATATTCAATGAAGAATAGGCCGTTACTAGGCAAGGACGTCCGTTCACGCCTATTCATGTAGTCGGTCATTCGCCTCCCTTACCTGATACTAGAGATATAATAACAACACACTGAAGAAAGCCCTCGACTAATGTCTTGTGCATATCTCCCGAGACTCAATGAAGCGTTGAAGAGGTAAATAATGAAATGAATGTCGATCTTGAATTTATAACTCCTGGCTACCGTTCATCTGAGGCATACTAAATCTTCAATCCCGGACCCTCAAGCTTCTTCCAGACCTTCTCAGCATTCTCAGCCAGCCTGGGCAACACAACACCAACTCCACTAGGCGGCTCAGCACGGAAAAGAGGCACAATACGCGTAGCTCCCTTGGAAACCTCCAAGATCGTCCCATCGCCATACTACGGACTCTCGCAAAGCTCAAGCATAGCCCTCCAACCTCCTCCGGCTCAAGGAACAGCTCGACGCCCTCGCCCTGCGTCATGTGCTTCTTCCCCGGGTCCTCCAGCCACATTGGGGTCTGCAATCTCTCGTCAGCACCATCCCCCTCCTAGAATATCAACGTGAGAGTATGGGCGTTGACATAGAATACTGACAATCACGGCCCCAGGCGCAACATCACTACACCGAATCCCCAGCCGATCCCTCATCCCGGCCATACACCGCACAAACCTGTGCAACCCGTGCTTACTAGCAACATACAACGGCGACCCGATCCCCGCCGCATGGCCCGCGATACTGCTCACGTGCACCAAACACCCGCTTCTCCCCTCCTGCGTCCAGTACCCGATCGCAAGCTGGCTCAGTCGGGTCGGATGCGTCAAGTTCACGTCGAGGACAGCATACGTCCCCGGCTCCGCGTCCGCCGCGTCTCTCGATTCACTGTCCGGGTTTGAGGGCGTTTTGGGAGGGTGCCAGAAGGAACTCCATGCTGGTTCGAAGAGGCCTGCGCCGGGGACAACGATGTCGATTTGCGGGAAGAAGGAGAGGGCTTTGGACCAGAGGAGGTTAAGCTGGGCCAGGATGCTACGTTTTTTTTTTTTTTTTTTTTTGGAAGAGGGCCGAGGGGCGGTTGGTGTTGGTGTTGTTGCCGTTGGGCTGCTGGGAGTGAGGGTAGTGCGTGAGGAGCTGTTGTGCTTCGGGGCGGAGCGCGAGATCGCCTATCATGACGGAGCAATCATTCTCTAAGAGTAATCTTGCAAAGGCGAGGTTTATGCCTGCGAGGTGTTAGTCACGTGTGCTCTCGGCATATGTCGATGAAGGAAAGGGTGACCTGATCCCGCGCCGGTGATGACTGCGTACTTTCCCGCCACTGACAAGGACATGATGCCGCCGGGGTTTTGTTGATGGAGCTGAGGTGTTGAGTGAGATCCGGACGAAATGAACGCTTCACACTCGTGGGGATACCGGGCACCTGTGATGGTTAAGCAACCTGATATCGGTGCCGAGGTGTCCTAGACGGGGCATTAATGTCACCCCTCGTCCACTCGACTCTGCAGTGGATGGATATGTTGCCCATGGACGGGTACCTTCACCTGGCGTCACCATTCAACCTGTAGTTACTCGAAAGGGACTGGATGTTGCCGGGTTGGCAAGTGACTTGAGGGGTCACTTGGGGGTGGCGTGGGGGTGACCGTCGATTCAGAAACCCCACCTGTTCATTCGGATTTGGCATGTGTAAAGTATAGAGATTATTGGGGTTTCATTCATGTCACAATACGACATCAGTACAAGATGCTGGTGCTGATGTGAATGGAGAGTCGTACAGGCCACACGACTGATGCTAATCTACCACTAGGAGATAGATCCAACCCTCAACCCGTCTTGGACCCCGTTTCCTCATCAGGAACCCGTCTAGATGCCTCACCCGACGCAACTAACCCCTCCCGACGCCGATCATTCTCATCATCCTCCGGCTTCCCCTCCCGCGTCGCCCACCCATCAACATACCGCAACGTCTGCCGGCTCCAAATCCTGTTCATAAAGAACAGCCGCACAGGCACCAAGATAATGATAATAATAGGGAACCCGGGCGCGGCAACAGTCAAGGTGACGCCAAAGACGATACCCGTGAGCACAATCTGCGCCAGCGTGTAGCAATGGATTCCCATCCAGCTAGCGCCGTGAGGCAAAGCAGGCAGCTCCGAAATGGGCGTCAGGAGCTGCCAGATCCTCGTAAGGATAGGGTTCACGGACAACGACTGGAAGCCCATGAACATAAAGAGGCCCGCGAGGACCGAGGTCGGCGTGAAACCGAGCACGTGTTGGAAGGGCGGCGAGATGAAGAGCAAAATGCCCGCTGCCTGTAGGAAGGCAGAGTACCGCTGCTCGTGGACGCGTTGGACGGGCTTCGCGGGAGGTCCTTCGCCTGGCCCTTCTTCGACCTCGTCCACCGGCGGCGGGTCTTCGTAGACAGTGTACATGAGCGATTCTGAGTGAAGCGGTGCCTGCGGGAGGAGGCCGTTGGCGGGCGGGATGCCTAGGATGCCGCACATGATTGTCGTGATGCCGAGGAGCATGACGTCCCACGCGTACCCGCCCGGTTTCTGGGTACCGTATCTCTTAGCCGTGCAGATGATACTACTGATCTCGTGGTCAAAGTAGAAGAGGACGGTGATGATGATGCCGGGAATGATGGCGATGAAGATCCAGCCAATGGGGAGTTTCCAAAACTCGACAAAGAAATACTCGCGGCTCGGGGACGACGGCCGGAACGACTTTGAGACTTCCAGCCTGTTGTGATCAAGAGTCGCCAGGTCGCCAACGTACGGCATGCCGATGAAGAAAACGATGGAGATGGCGGCGGCGTACTCTGTCAGGCCCATGCGGACGTACCTGTGGAACAGTGGCTTCCACGACACTGCGGTCGACAAGGCGATGGCGAGGAGGCATGTGCCCGCGGCTCCGATGATGGAGTAGAGGAAGGCGGCGAGGGAGACGGCTGCTTTTGTGCGCTGGAGCTCTCGGATGGCCTTATGAAAGTAGATTACGCTGTTGAGGAGGGAGAAGATGTCGGCGCTGAAGTCGGTGACGTATTGCATGGTGTAGTCGTGGGCGTTGAAGATGGCCAGGAGGAAGTGCATCCAGCCCGAGTGGATTAGGGACCATGCCATGAAGGGCAGGAAGGGGATCTATCATGGTTAGTTTTAGCCTTGGAGTTTTCTACATAGACAGCCACGGTACCTTGAATGAGTTCTCGCATAGCGTGTAAATGTTTTCCGCTAATACTGAGAACGGCCCCGTTACACCAAGAATCGTCAATGGTTGAGCCGAGAACCTGGAAAACTGTGTTAGAGCTGTAGTAATTCTCCAGAACAAGATTTCTACTCACAAGGCAAAGATGATGCCGCAGAGCCCGGTACTAAACACCACCTCAATCGTGCCCCACGACTCCCCAGTCAAGACATATAAATCGCTCGCAAACGTGATGCCAGGCAAGATATTTGTAAAGAAGACGTACACCGCGCTCGCCAGGACAAGCTGATTGAACACGGTCCAGTCAGAGAGATACCTCAATCTGAAGTTGCCAAAGTCCTCCTTGAGCAGCCTGAATGGCCTCAACTTGCCGTCTCTTTGGATGTAGCCGCGCCACCTGTGGCTGTTGCCGTTGCTGTTGTCCGTGTCATCATTTCCGTCTCCACTGTGTCGTTCACTGCGGCGCCCTTCCGGGCCCGCGTTATGGATCGAAACTTCCTCCCGGTCTTCTGCCTTTTCGGTAGACCTCCTCTCTGCCCGGTCGCTGATGAGGCCGTGCGACTCGCGGACCGGTGTTATGACATCGTCCTGGTGTCGAGGTGAAGTGGCCGAAGGTGGTCCGCGGTCACTGCCTGGCCTCGTGGGCGTGAGATTTGGTGACATGCGGGAAGGCGTTTCACGGCTATCAACACAGAACGAGTCTGTGTGTAGTCGTAGGATACACAAGAGATGTCGGCCCAGTCAGTGGGTTGGCAGTAAGAACAGCGTGCTAGGTCGGTCTACACAATATAAAAGTGACCAAGTACATGATCTTAAAGAGCCAGGACTGGACAGGAACTAGGTATCGTACTGGAAATAGAACGAGAAACTCTACATAAAAGCCAGAACGGTTAAACGGCAGAGGCGTAAAGAACTCAAACACTACAAAATCCCGCTAACGCAAACTTCTTGCCCATCCCAACGAACCCCATCTTGCAGCCCAAGGTCCATGGATTCCCTTGACTCGAACTCTTTCCCAGTAGCACTGCCAGGGCAAGCGTGGCTGCGTGGGCAAGCAAGGGCTTCTTAATAAAGAAGAAGGTTCGGGCCCGTTTCGACAAATCGACATCCCACCGTTCCCCACGTGCTCATTGGCCAGTCTTGGCAGAGCAAACCCCCACAGACGCCAAGGTACGCACGGTCCAGGCCGGGATAGCTATCGAGGCTGACGTCATGCTGGTCGGCGTCGGGGCCAGCAGATTGCCCCTCCTCCTTCAGGGATTATGTTTCTTCATAGCCAATCAGATGATGCGACCGCTGCGAGGCTATCGGACAATCGGCGCCAGGCTGAAGAAATTTTGACACGAACCAACTTTCATTCCCCCGAAATTACCAGCTTTCAACCACCTGCAAGCGTCAGCCCCCTTCCCATCCCAAACAGCTTTCTTCCAAGGAAGTCAATCACCCCTCCCAATGATGAGGAGGTAGTTGCCAGAAACGGATCCTTAGCACAAGGGTGCCCGCAAATTCCGCCAGCCGTTCCCGTCCCCGTCCCCGTCCCCGTCCCCCCTTTCGCAACCTCCTCCCCTCCCCCCCCCACCAGCCCCGGCGATGTTCCCGACCGCCGCGCGCCGGAGCGCGACCACCGCCTTCGCGCCCCGCCTCCGCTTCGACGTCTCCGAATCCATCCCCCGCTCCTACTACCTAGGCCACCACCACGCCGCCCTCCGTGAAATCTCCTCCCGCCTCTCCGACGTAGGCCTCGTCCTCGAGTGCCGCGACTACCGCGTCCCGCTAACCAGCTGGAACCCCGTCCTCGATCGCGCCATCGCAGGCCGCGAGCGCATCGTCGTCTACACCCACCACGACCTCGGCGCCGACAGCCCCGCCTCGGTAGAACACGCCCTCCGCCGCTTCCACAATGGCACCGGCCGTTCCCCCATCGGCGGCACCGGCGGCGGCGGCGGCAACCCTGCCACCACCTCTACAACCAGACAACGCGTCGTCTTCTGGCGCAAAGACGACCCCGCCGCCACGAAACAACTCCTCTCCGAAATTCGCAGCGTCGCCCGCTCCGTCGACAGCCTCACAGGCATGCGCGCCCTCGTCGTCGGCATGCCCAACGTGGGCAAAAGCACCCTCCTCAACAAGCTCCGCGTCCACGGCATGCACAAGAAACAATCCGTCGCAAAAGTCGGCGCCCAGCCAGGCGTGACGCGCAAGCTCTCCTCTCCCGTGCGCATCCTCGATTCCGAGAACAACAGCGCCAACAGCGACAGCAACAACAACAGCATGGGCCTCGGCGAAGGCGTCTTCGTCCTCGACACCCCGGGCGTCTTCATGCCCTTCGTCTCCGAAGCCGAAAACATGGTCAAGCTCGCCCTCGCCGGCTCCGTAAAAGACGATCGCATACCCATGGAGATCCTCGCCGACTACCTCCTCTACCGCCTCAACCTCACCGACCCGAGCGCCTACGCACGATACTCCGAGCCCACGAACGAGGTCAACGAGTTCCTGATGGGCGTCGCCCGCAGGACGGGCAAGCTCAAGAGCGGTGGGGAGACCAACGCCGACAGCGCCGCCGACTGGATCGTCAAGCAGTGGCGGGTCGGCAACCTGGGCAAGTTTGTGCTCGACGACATCACCGACGAGGCATTCAGGGACAAGGAGCTGGCGAGGGAGGGGCAGGGCCCGCTCAGCATGAACCAGGCGCGCAGGAAAGAAAAGGAGGCGAGAAAAGAGCGAGCCTTGAATAAGACGAAAGCAATTTAAGGGCACAAAAAGGAGTAGTAGATTGCCCGTGTGAGAATTATAGAAAGATACCCCACACCCTGTATCAAATACATGTAAAATATAAAGCCCGTCTCGTGGGAGAGCAATTTTGTACACCTTGTCCTTCAAAACATAGAAAACGAGTAGATCAGGTTGGACAATACTCGAGATAAAAACCAAACTCAACTGAACTTGGGTGCATCACTAACAACGTCGCCCGCAATCTTGGAGACTCGCAAGCGTCCGGGTATCCGACAACTCTCCTCGAACCTGACATTATCAACTGACAGTAGAACCGCACAACCAGTGCGTACATGGGCAACAACTCGTGATTGAACTGCCTTCAAGCCTTTTGTTCGAACAACATTTTCAACACCCCAAAACAGACCAAACGCCACGAATCATCAAACCGTATAGAGCCGCCAAATGCCGTCAGGGGCAGACTCTTGATATCGTACTTCGAAACGAAAGCAGCCATTCGGCTTCAAGTGAGCGACAATTCGCTTATATAAAGGGCAGCTACGGCCAATACAGGCCTGCTTACGACGCATATTGATTCTGCCATCGCAGCAGATCTCGCGTGAGGGCATCCATCATCTCTACACAATTCAATGCTTTGAAATCTTTCGACTCGGGCCCATTTCCGTCTGTTGCCGCAGTGCCGATAGGCGAGTTCTTTGCCATTGCGGAGTCGCCGTTGACGCTAATCTTTGGCGCATCTGGCGCAGCCGTTGCGCGAGGACTTTGTTGCTGGGAGCTGTTTTGGCTGCTCCTAGATCCCGGTAGTGCTTCGCCAGCCAATTCCACTTGTGTTTTGGAAATGAAGTCGAGGAACGCCGAAACCCTGCGTTTCATGTCGTTCATTGATACTTTGCTGTGGGCACTGTTTGCCTTTGTCCGGGTGTGCTTGGGATGATCGGAGTGGGAATGTTTGCTGGTACCAGCGCCAGTATGGTCGTCGTGATTGCGGCCGATATCTCTGGACATTGACCTTGCCGGTGTGTCTTCGTTATCGTCGCGGTCTTTCGTGTATTGATTTCGACCCTTGCCTCTCTTCTGGTTGTTACGGCTTGTCTTTTTGTGTGAGCTTCCGACCGGTACTTGATTCGCAGGCGGGGTATCTGGGGTCGGGGCAGAGGACGGGGGCGCCTCAACAGGCACCACAGGCTCAGTGGTCGGTTTGACAGCAGGCCGAGCTGTCGCAAGGGGGACCTCTTCTGACGGATCCGATTCTGCGCCCACGTGAGCTTCAGATTCCTTACCCGGATTTACAGGAGTCGTACCCTCAGCTCTCCTGCGATCTGCACGACCCTTTCGCCGATTGGCTGCTTCCGCCCGCTGGCGGTCGCGCTCTTCTCGGTCCGACTTTTCACGTTGTGTACGTGTACCGCGAGGCTTCTTGGGTTGGCCATTCCGACCGTTATTTTCCTCGTCTGTGTCGTCTTCAATGGCTTCGGTCTTCTCCGGAGGCGGCGACATCGATGGCGAGCTCGTACGCTGTCTCTTCAGGCTTGCCGAATTCCTACAACTGTTAGCGGGGGTAGCTCAGTGAACTGTTCTTTACTCACTCAATGCTATCACTGCGACCTCGCTTCGTTCGTCTTGAGGTAGTCTCCGTGGGTTCCGAAACGGTCTCTTCTTTACTGGCCTCGATGGCCCGTCGCAATTGTTCATCTTCGTCGTATGCGGCATCCCGGCTGTTCATTGTCGACCTCCGCTTTGAGGCCTGGGTAGCAGATGAAGCGCGGCCCCCATTCCTGCCCCCTTCCTTGGGCGACCTGGTGCCATCCTTGACCAAGGATGCGGCCCGGGACGTTGCGCGCGATGGTCGATTGAGAGGCAAGTAGTTCGAGTATCGTTGTCTGTGGGAGTAGAAAGGTTAGCATTGTCAGAGCACTAGAGACGTCGTCGATTGGGTCTCGCCGTATCCAGATTTGTGTTCTCCAATGACCTTGCCGCCGACCGACGATTGCCAGTCAATGGCGAGCTTGTGGACGACAAGACCCCGGAAGCTTCTGGACGGAACTGTGGATTGCCTACCCGTTGGCTGCTGCGTGAATTTTGTGTAAATCTTTGCGACACTTCTCGCAAAAGTACTCATCGGGAGAACTCTCCTCGGTGAAAATGCCGACGCAGGCACCATGTTGCCAGACTTTGCAGACGTCGCACTGGACGAAGAGACCAGAGACCTCATCGGACAGCTCGATGCTAGCGAAGAAGTCCGCCTCGGGATTGTGCTTTCCGTGCTTGGAGTCCTCCTCGAAGGGCGGAGGTCCCGGGTATTCGTCGAAACCACATACACAACGTACGGACTCGTCGTCCTCTTGGACGTCGTCACTGCCGGTGGCCATATCGTAGGGGTCGACACGAGGCTTGTCGCGAGCGTCTTCTTGGGCGCGGGTTCGCCGCCGCGAGGGGAGGGCGTCCTCAAGGTCTTCGGGTGGCTCCGAGGAGAGCGAGGCGCTCGGGGTGGACTTGGCGGAAGAGGTCTTGTTGAGGGATCTGGTCGTTCGCTCGCCGCGACTCGAAAGACTCGATGTGGTCGAGGATTGCTGTGACTGAGAGACTGTGTTGCCTCGGGCTCGTGAAGAACGTCGAGGGGAGGGTGGTGCCATTGAGGTAGCGTAGGGGGACGGCGGAGAGAGGAGGAGGACGAGGAAGAGTTCGGAAGAGCGAGGAGGAGGGGAGGAAGAGTCGGCGGCGGCGGCGTGTGAGTGACGCAGTACAGGATGTCGTAGTCGCAAGGGTGAAGCCAGAAGGCAGAGAGTAGAATTGGGATGTCGGGGCGAGGGGAAAGGTTGGTAAGGTAAGGTAACGAGAGTGTGGGCAGAGAGCAGGTCGGGTGGGTTGTTGTGGTTGTAGTGGGAGGGCAGTCGTGCGAGCGAGAGAGTAGCAGGAAATGGATGGGCGCGACTCGCAGTTCTGGCTAGTGAGAAGGGAGGACTCGGGTACTCCAGCAAGACTTTTGAGGGAATCGAACAGTTCGCATATCTGACAATCGAGTATAAGGTAGATTCATGTCGTGACGGGTCGGTAATGTGTAGAAGAGGAGAGAGAGGAGCCGGCGTGGGGAGGTGGAAAAGGTCAGAGAAAGAGTGCGCCGTGGGTAGAATGGTTCTCTGCTCTGGGTGAAGGAAACCGACAGGCGACGGATGGGACTGGAGTGGACTGGAGCAGCAGCACCGCACTTCTTTCGGGCTTGTAGAGTGTGGTGCGGCGCCTCTTTGGCTCTGGCGTGCAGGAGCTGCCGCTGCCCACTGCCCTCCGAGCAACGCACCCAGGGAAAAGAGCAGGGCAGCTTTGCGGGGCTGGCGGCCAGGTGGTGCCAGCGGGCTACGGTCTACACCAATGGCTACACAGGTGATTGTGCTGCATAAGTCGCTGCACAAAAGGAGAAAAAGGAAGGGATCCCGGAGCGGAGGTGGGATGGGAATTGGGTTGTGCGTCTTGTGCTGTGCGGCCATCGGAAAAACCAAGACGATGACAGGCTGTGTACTAGCGACTTTGGACGGCACTGTGCTTCTCCCACAAATTGCCCCCAAAAAAGGCAGAAAATCGGAGTACCTAAGACTAGTCAATCAAGGACCATCAGCCATTCTCTTCCGAGCCCGCCGCCTTCATTGCATCTCTCGAGCACACGCTGCACAGGTCTCCCCCGCCCAAAGCTACAGTCCATGACTTTCCCCTGCCAACGGTGCTCGTCTAATCTCGAAGCCCAATTTACCACCCGCTTTCTCGCTGTCTCTCCAATATCTGCATCCTGCGGCGAGTCACTTTTATGCACAGCACACAGTGTGTACATCTCTTCTCTTTCCACTTCCCATCTCAATCTAACCCTTCCGTGCTCCCTCGCTCCCTCGTCACTTTTGCCTGTCCGCCTTGAGCTTTGGGATCTGGAGCCATAAGGTAATTACCCCCTCCAAAGGCCCCAACCTCCCACCCCAGGCAGTCCATCCGCAGCGGAGCCCTGGCTTGCTTATCTAATGCGTTTCGAACGGCCCTCGTTGACCTACGTCTCCTAATCACACACCAGACATTATCAAATGCTGTCATTAGCAATCAAAGCTGGGGAATTCGATACCAACCTTGACTTTCCCACACACTCCGTTCAGAGCCCGACTAAACTTGCTGTCGCCTTTGCGTTTTACCTGAACGACGTCTTGCGCTTGACTGCATACTCTGCTTCTTTTTAGCTCCTGCGTGCCCATAGTCGAACACGGAGCAAACCCGGCCGAATTCTGGTGGACCGAGTTGGTATGCCCGCTCCCCTCTTCTGGCGAACAAGTAGAGGTCCGCTCGTACCTCACCTGAGCTTCGTTGCGCTGCGCTCCCTTGATTTGTTCAAGGGTAAGAGGAAATTATCGATCGGACCTGGTTGAACGTGCATCATGTGTTTGTCTGGCTTGTCGTTGGGCCAGCTATCTATTGCGGACATATGCTGATGGTTGGGCAAACTCAGGAATCAAGGGTTACAAGCTCCTCCCGCATTTAATACGGATCCATACCCCCCCCTTCCTTGCGAACCTCCCAACCCACCGAACAAGAGCCTTTTTTGCTCCAGCAACACCAACACGATCCCCCGTCGCACTGCTAGCAGCCTCAAGCTTCGTAACGTGAATCGCCCTGTCCGCGTTGGCCTGCCTTGCATGGCTTGTAGCATGAGGTGTTATGGGTATGCGTCGCTCTTCTCCAAGTTCAACTCCCGCCACCACCCTGCCATATCCACCTTCTCGACCACTGCTTTCGAAGGATGCTGCCACTATAGTCCTTCGCCGAATGTCAGGTGCTGCTGAGTCGGCGCTCGTGACTTTGGAGCTGGCTGTGGCGGCCGACTGCACAGGTCATGCGCCTTTGAAACTCACCGGCCTGAGGCTTTACTATTCGACCGAGAAGCTTGCTAACCTCGATGGTTCTTATGCGGAAGCAGGTCATAATCGAACAATGTCTCCCGAAAGCGTCTCCTCTCTATTCCCCCAGAGGCCGATTCGTCCCTTGCCGAAGCGTCGCTTGAGGGAACGCCTCTCTCCTGAGGTGGCGGACTCCATCGAGTACCCCCCCGCGAACCACAACAGTAGCCCTCTGTTCTACTACCCAAATATCGTGCGAGATGAGATGCTCTTGAGGACAGGAGGCTTGAAAGGTGCGAGTCGAGGCAGTGGAGGGCATGGGGGAGCACCTCGAGGGACACCGGCGATTGGAGAGAGTGACGAGGAGGAATTGGCGCTGAGCAGCAGCAAAGTTGTTCGGCGCTCGCATCCAGAGATCCTTAACCGCGTCTCAACGAAGCCTCCGAAACCGGAACACTCCAAGCACCCCAGCCCTCAGCCACCTCCCTCGACAACATCCTCAGCAGATGGGTACGAATCGTTCGAGAACACCAACAACAAGAAGAAGAGGAAGATTCCGACTGCCGGAGACTCGTCGCTATCTGGTGTACATTCCCTGGGTGACATCAATTCTATAGGTGTATCAACAGTGATGTCTCCGTCAAACGACCACGGTGACCTCGGCGGGTCAATATCGCCCCCATACTACGGGGCTGGAAGCTTTGTTGGAAACAACCAAGGTATCTCAGGACCGGGAAGAGGCAGATTCGGAAGATCAAGAAATGGCAGAAGTCCTCTCAGAGCTTTATCCGACGCAACAAACAACTGGGTGGGTAGGGGAGCGAAGATCCGGCCTCCTCAATTGGCCACGCCAAGTAAGTTCCCCTTGTGTCTAGGACAAAATCAGATGGGAGAGGCAGTAGAAGCCGAATGGGATGCTGCAGTGCTTGATGACAGTGGCGATTGCTGTTGGATGGAAAGGAAGGCAGCAGGTGCACCTCACAGCAGGTTGCTCTTGCACCCTTTGATTCCAAACGCAGGCATCCACGCCATTAGCTACAAACAGTGGCTCCTTTGCTTCCTCACCTCAGCTTATTCTACAGCAATCACAGCATCCTCCATTTTCGCGTATTTGTCACAGTTAGCTTCTTTCTTAGAATGTGCCGCTAATTCCTATACTTACAGACGAAAATCCCGGCATCATTTCCAGTGCCATCGCTAATGCAGAAAAGGCTCCTTCGGCTCCCGGCCAGGAAAACGTGAGCCTTCTTCATCGGCAATCCTCCAGCGTCAAATCTAGCCCTACTGCCACTCAATTCACTTTCACTTGCGATTCCCCAGTTCCAAAGCCTCACTGGCCTGGAACTGATCCTGCGATATCTCATCCCGGATACCCCAGACAAGCCAGACACGCCTCGATGGCGACACAGACTACGCCAGACGCCGCCGGCACGGATACTGGCTCAGGCGATTCTGTGCCTGCTGGCAAAAAAGCTCCCCGGCCCATGTCGAAGAAGAAGCGCCGTCAGCTTGCCGAGAAGGAACTGCGTAACGCAGCCAAGTCACGTCGTCAGGAAGCCGAGGAGAAATACTACAAAAATCCACCCAAGCTTGAAGATATGTGGATTTGCGAATTTTGCGAGTATGAGAGAATCTTTGGCTCGCCTCCTTACGCCTTGATTCGGCAATACGAGATCAAGGACAAGAAAGCCCGCGAAAAGGACGAAGAGCGCAAGCGGCTTTTGGAGAAGGCCAAAACCAAGGGCAGGAAGGCCAGGAAGCAAGCCAAGTCGCCTGCCAAGACGGCATCATCTCAGAACCACGCCGAGAGCCAAGGCACTCATGCTTCTGTGGGCCCTGACGAGAGCAACTCGACTCCTGGCGATGACTATCTCGACGACTATCCGAACGGCAACTATCACAACGACGAAGATTTTGAAGATACATACTCTCAAGACGATCCGCCCATGTTGCTCAGCGACGATCCAGATCAAGAGTGTACTTGCCCACATACAACCTGCAGCGATTGCGGCGGAGACCAGAATGAGGTGGATGATCCTGGTGAGGCAGTTGACTGAGGAGGTCCACTCGCAGGCTCCCTGGGGTGCACAGCACTGTGATTTTGGGTACCACCTATGGTCACCTTCGCTTGCCCATACTTCAATATACCCGTTATCGCATCGATCCGACAACAAATCGTTGGCCTCACAGGTCTCAGCGTTGGAGGCCGAGCATTGCCTGGATGGCAGGTGAGGGAAACACCAAGACACTTGGACATTGTTTGATGATCTTGGACGTATCTTGACCCACCAAGTTGGGTTTGGATAAAGGCCCTTTTCAACTACGGATTGGAACACGACCTCGTCATCAACAGGATTCTATCATCAGCCAGCAACATTGTCGGCAATGGAAGTTGGCAACAACCGAAAAAAAAAACAAAAAAAAAAAAACAAGGCAATACTCGGCTCAGAGAGTTTGAGTTCTATGCTATGATGATGGAATGCACTACGCGTTGCCCATGTGTTCGAAGTGAACACGAAGCAATGAATCAAGCTCTGTCCTTAGGGAAAGCTTTAGAGGCAGGCTTGGAATTATAATCAAGGGGCAGGGATGGATATCGGTTCAGCCAGGTCTAGACTTTTGAGGCTCGAGAGAGGGAGAAGACAGGTTGTCGAGTGTCTTGTAGAGGTTACCTGTCAAAGATGGATACACGCAGGCCTTATCCCCAGACTACAACAAGTCGTCCTAAGCAGAATTGACCATCCTTACCCGATGTTGCTACTATTGTATGTGATTTTCTCTACTCCGTACAGAATGCTGGTCAAAGGTATCATTGATAGACCTCCACTACCTTAATTGTAAGGTTCCTGGTAAAGACCCGTAGCTAGATGCACCTACCAAGTATGACGTCACGGACTGCTGTACTGACTAAGGTGGCATGCAGCGGTAGGTCTAGCCTCCTCCATCGCGACCCTACGAAGCTAACGACTCAATTACAGAATATTGCCTTATTAAGCGGGCTCCTTCAGACTATGTTCCCGTCATTATTCGGAGTTTTCCAATTCCTGCTAGTCCGCCTCACTCATACCGCCTGAACAACAGCTTGCTGTATAATTTTCCTCACGAGCCACGGAGAGTCAGTTAGTGAGATGGGGGATTTTGAAGGAGGGACATACTGTGTTGTAGAATGATCGCCCCATCCTTTGGCTCCGACATATTTAGAAGTGAGATAGGAATTAGAACAGAGATGACTTGGCCTACCGGCGGAGGTCGCAGCGTAAAGACCGGATTCGGCGCTACCGAAGGCTCTGACCGCGCTATCCGCTCGGGAATGTTTGGGCTTCAGGGGGACTTGTGATGTTTGGGAGACAGCTATCAAGGAAAATTGGGGAGATTTCCGTTTCTTCCGATTTACTGTGTGTTGTTGTGTGGCAGATCATTGCGGCTTGGGGGAGCATGCATGGACCTTGGAGGTTGATGATGTGTTTTGGGGGGTTGATGGTGGGTGTTATTGGGGTCGTCGGAGGGGCACTCACTCCGGAGAGTCACTCCGGATCGCAATGGTGCCAGCGAGTATGTTCTCTTCCATATCTCGAGTGTGAATACCAAGTTAATCTATCGCAAAGCCGCAATCTATGCGGCCCGTCCAAGAAAAAGAGAGAGCATAACAGACAGATCTGAGATCAAGCTTCTCACCATCCGCTAGAGCCGTTCCGCGCAAGCCGTCGGCGGGTTGCGCCGGAGAGCTTCCAAATCATAATACCTACGGAGCAGAGAGAGGGGAGACAGACAGAGAATTGGAAAGCTTCGCTGTCAGTCGGGCCAGGCCTGAAACAACCCTGTCCCATCCACCCACCGCAGCAAGCCCCAGGTGCCAGGGCCCCAGGCCAAAAGGTTCTGCGAGACGTCGATCAACTGCTCCACATGAGGTTCGGCACTCTGGAACTTTGACGTATCCGTCGGTGGGTTGTACTCACGTCGGGTGCTTTGTACACCCACAGGCGGTAGTGGTGGTGGTGGCACTTTCCTGCCGTTGGCTGAGCCGCCTCGCATGCGAACCATGCCTTATGAGAGAGAAGGGCTTTGGGGAGCGAAAGAAGAGAAGACCGGCTCCTCGGTTGGCTGCCGTGGCTGCTTCACCAAGGTCCTAAACAGCCGAGACTCGATTAGTTCATTCAGTAGGATCTGTCCATTCAAAGACATGAGACCTCTGGATTTCCCAGACACGACGGATGGATCATCGGGGGGTAGAGTGTAGACAAGGGGGGGGGGGACAATGGAAACGGGAGGATGTTGCGGATTGATGCGTGTTCCTTGAGCCATTGCTACACTATGCGATGTCTGGCGCGATGTCTCTGTACGTATAGGATACAGGTGTCAATACCGTCTCGACTATGTCTGTGTGTGGTGTTGTGTCTTGATGACGACGGCATTGTCAACCAACCCCCAAGCAGCATCTTGGGCCGAAGTTTTCTTCCTTTGGTCTTGTCTTTTCTCGGATAGGAGTGGACCAATGCCTGTGAGACACAGGGTGCCAGGTCATCGAAGCTGTCACAAAAACCTCGCAGTAGATCACCTCACAGATCAGGTAGCCAGCACCAGCGAGCAAGGGAAGTTGCCAGCAAGTTACCCAGCCGTAGTAACAAGCAACAAGTTCCCAGCCCAGCTACGTGCTGCAGTTGCATGCTGCCCAGCGCTATGCCAGCTCGACATGGGCATTGGGATTTTTAGCAGCAGGGCCCGTCGGATTGGCACCCTCTTGCTTTGAGACACTGGGCCAGACCCGGCATGGCGTCGTCCCAAAACAGAAAGGCGGCATGGCCGAAACAAGGGTGATTCCAGTAGAAAGAAGAAGCCTCCAGCCAGCAGCGGTAAGGTGCCGCTTTTGCATTGCATTTCGCTGTCAATCTGTGTCCATACTGCGTAAGGTAGTGGATAATGAATGTACTTCTGAATACCTATGTATCCGTAGGTGGACAGGAATGGAATGGGAGGAAAAAAAACGTGAAATGAAAGCAGCGCACAGAGCAGGGGGCCCCTCTCCCCACCCCCCATCGTGGCTGAATTCCGACTCACCTCTTCCGTCATCATCCCATCGCATCCCGTCCCATCCACGTCCCTCCAATCCACCGCTTCTCCCACCCCAGCTCCTCCATTTTCCTTCCTCCCCAGGGATAATATCACCATCTGCAGTCGTCCACCAACACCGACACCACCACCTTGAGCCTCTGTCGCTCGGCCTCCCCAGGACAAACTCCAACTCTCCAAAATCATCCAAGTCGCCCCCTTCCCTCCACACCCTGTGGCCTTTGTTCCTTAGTCTTCACTTTTACTTACTTTTCTTCCTGCGCTTCCGTATTTTCACCTTCACCTTGAATCCCATGCAACTTGCTACGAAATCATCTCAGGCCATGCGCCGTTGATCGATATTCCCGAACCCGAAGCAAACATGTTTGGAGGTTCGAGAAGGCACCGTCAGGCCAATCAGGTATGTCGTCATTATGCCGACTGATGCTTTTTCTGCCTATAGTTTCTCACCGCACCGGCGTGCTGCATGTTTGTTCTTCACCACCAAGGGCACTCTGACTCTCCCATGCGATTTGCGCTGCCTTCGTTCCTCGAGTCTGCGGTTCACAACTGACCCTGTTGCCGTCTAGCCATTGACCGCCGCAACCGCAAATCCTAACGCTGCTACCGCAGCTGCCTCGGCCTTTGCGCGACGCGCATCCAGCTCGTCTCTGTCATCTGCCGCCGCCGCCGCTGCCTTGCGATCGCGACCTACAACACCCATCAATGTCGCCGAAGTACAGACAAAGCGGACACAAAGGCGCAGTCGATCGGTCTCGTCGCAGCGAAGCCAGGACACTCAAAGGGACCTACACCGATCGCCTAGCCAGAGCTCCATGACCGAACGGACCTTCCGCTCACCTTCACCACACCGAACACCGATGGCTGCTGCCCCCGATGCGCCGCCAGTCCCGAATATTCCGGACGACATGCGATCCATCACGAGCCAGAGCTCTTCCCACAAGAGGTCAACGAGCCTACAGATGCAGCCGTTCCGCGTAGCGAGTCAGAGGAAACAAGATGGCGCCGGATCGTGGTTTGGAGCGGCGAACGAGGGCAATTTGGCCAACGTGAGAACGTCGGATGCCCCAATGCGCGTCGCCTCTCCAGAGTCTCGCCCGGGAGCTGTAAGCCCAACTTCTTCTATAAATTTTTCATATCCGAGGGTGCCAGGTGCATCGCCCCCGGCATCACCAACCGTCGAGAGCATGTCAATGACAAGTAGCCAGCGATTTGTCTCACCCCGCCGATCAGAGTCAGCAGCGTCGCGCCACACAACGGCGTCAGATACTCAGTCACTCGTGTATGATCCCAATTCGAGGAGGATGGTTCCTAGAGTGAATTTGTTGGTAAGCGAACAGAAAGTTCAGGATGCTGCTGAGAAGCCCGTCAAGAAGTCAAAACACCAGCAAGGGTTATCTAGAAGTGGTTCACACTTGGCCAAAGGTACGATGGGTAGAGCGCAAGGCACTGCAGTTGAAGAGCTCACGCCTGCGCCTCTCCCTGCACCGGCAACGGCGCCGAAGCAACAACCACAACTTCGAGTTCCTACCGGGGCTCCTGAGCAACAAAGCCAGCCTCAGACTGAGGAGACTGTACCGCCGAAGACTATACCGACACACCACCAGCAACCGTCTCCAGCACCTGTCGTAACCACTAAACAGTTTTCTCAACGTGAACCAGAAACCGCCCACACGCAACCGGCATCCAACCTCGAGGTAGAGCAGCCGGTTGTGCAGGATGTACGTAAGAGTGATGGTGCTACGATTCTGCCGCATTCGGAACCCCGCCAAGGCGCGCCCAGATTAGGAAGGAAACCTTCTATAGTACAGGAGGAATCCGAGGACGACCTCGAGGACTCCGACGAGGGCGAAGCCGCGCAGCCTCCGGTGCGCCACGATATTTCTGATGTTCTTGACGCCGTACCTGTGAGGTCTTCAGCACCCCCGAAGCAACCAACGCTGTCATCCGAAAGCACAGCTGTCGAAGCTCCAGCACAGATGTCGTCTCAAAGGCAACCTAGTCCTCCACAGCTTAAGCAGCATGGCAGTATCAGAAACGGACGTGCGCACTCGAGCAGTCCTGCAAGATCAGCACGCTTTGCATTAGGCGCAGATCAGTTAGCCATCAGGCACGAGCCTCCTCCACGATCCGTCTCGCCTCGAAAGTCCGCCATGAAACATTCAGTTAGCCCATCCCGCGGTGCCTCACCGTCAGATGAGGGCTCTGAAGCATCGGGGCCAAGCCGGTTTGGCAGCGAGGCCACCGCCGTGGAGGCGCCAGTGCCACGCAAAAAGAGTGTACGAGTCAGCTTTGACGATGAGAACACTAAGGTCGTAGGACAATCCGCTGCAAAGCCGGAGCTGGATTCACCTCTTCCCCTTAGTCCTCAAAACACGAAAAGACATTGGTACAACCACCTGGGCCGAAGCCGAAAGAAAGATGCAGTTGCCCTGGATGAAGACGAAGTCATGCAACCACGACCCGCCTTGCCCACATTCGGCAGCGTTCGTGAAAAGATGCCGCGGGACAGTGAGGAGGAGCGGCCACTCGTACGGCCCACTGAATCACCGACGACATCCGGCCCAGATACCCCAGATCGCACACCGGACCGGTCAATCCCACTTGGTCAGTCCAACGATCACAATGTTGGCTCGATTCTCCATCTTCAGGAGCAGACGGCTAGAAACCCTGCAAACATATCGAGATTCAGAGAGCCATTGCCGCCCGTGGTTACGTCGATGGAAGGTAGCGGCTATTATTCTCCCAGCAGCACGAGTTCGGAAGATGAAGACGAGGCAGAAGTTTTCCAGGACTCAGAGGTTATCCAGGAGCCCGCGCCAACCTTGCCTCCTGCGCAAGTCAAGGAGGAAATCATTGCCGATCATCCTGAGTTGGTCGACCAGCCGCAGTATTCGACAGATCCTGCTCACGAGAATAATACTGAACGGCAAGAGGATATCCTCCCTTCTATCTCCGTTATTCAACCGACACCAACTCCCAGGGAGGCAGTTAGCAATCACCCAGCCAGTCTGTCAGGTTCAAGCTACTTTGATGTTCCGGGAGGTTTCCCGAGCGACGACAGCGAGGATAATGTTCCGCACACCCGTGCGGTGCCCACCACAGATGTGACGAAGCATGATCCGCCGACATCGACGACAGTTCCCAACGGCGCCGCCAAATCTTTCGCAATTGCCGTTCCCAAATCCACTCCCACCGATGAATCTGCGTCCGAAGGCGACAGCATCTACAGTGACGCATACGAAGACCTCTCAGATATCGACGGAGACGGTTTCATGTCTCTCGACGCCGTCGTCGCATCGCCCGTTTCCGACAAGGTTTCTCAGAAGCTCTACAAGAAGGCTCTAGCAGATTCTCAAAAGGAGACCGCCCACGACGCTGATGTCTCAGGAACGCACGATGCGCCGGACGTTTCGCAGTTGTCAAATAGCTCGCGGCAACCAGAGGATGAGTGGGAGAAGGCCAAGCTCTACTGGAAAGGATTGACAAGTGACAAGCGGAAACAACTCGAGCAAGAGGCGCTGGAGGAAGCCGGGGCCGAAGGCGACCTCGAAGAGGTTGTCCAGCCTGTGAAGCCCAAGAGGAAGAAATCTGTTCGCAAGAGCGACCCTGTCGAACAACAGCAGGCTTCCACCAACCCAGAACGCATTTACCAAATCCAGCCTGGAACGAGAGCCGCCGATGAAGAGGATGAAGCAGAGCCGCCAGTCGCTATCCGGAAGACTATGCGAGGACGACACGCTCAGGAGGCAGCGCCAGCTAATGGAAGACTCCAGAAGACAATGCGTGGTGCACCTAATCAGTCAGCCGCGGCTACAAACTCCGGCATGCGAAGGTCGATGCGATCGGACAATCAAACTCCTCAAGGCTCTCACCAAGTACAAGCTGCGGCTCCTGGAGGCATGAGAAAGTCTATGAGACAGACTGGCTCGTCTCAACCAGGGGCTATTCCCCAACAAAGGGCGGCCCCCGCAACGTTGACAAGCCAGGATACTCGTTCTAAGCACCTCTCCATGGACAGCACAATGTCAAGCGTTGAAATGGCGAAAGCCATGCAAGCAGCGATGCAGTCGACACCTCGTCGACGAGGATCCGATTCCAGCGAGACCAGCTTTCGACGGTCTCGGCCAAAGCAGGAAGGATTTGGCTTCCGGAAATCGATGCGATCTAACGGGGAGGCCGAGCAGGCGGCGGCTGGTAGGAACTCGCGCTTCAGCCTCCGGTCAATGTCTCCACCCGCCTCGCCGTCTCAGCCACCGATCAGCATGGGCAACCGTACAACTATGCGAGGCACGCTGCGAAGTGATTCAAGTGATGGAAGCACGCGTCGCATGCGCCTACCGTCTTTTGGCAAGTCATCTTCCAAAAAGGTGGCGGGAAACCCGGCGACACCGGGGAAGAGCCGCTTTGGCGATTCGAGCGACGAAGACGATGCTGGGCCCTCTGGATTCCGCAGCCGCTTTGTCGACTCTAGCGACGAAGATGAAAAGACAGCGCCTGCATCCGCACCGCACAACATGCCGAAGAGCATGCGCGCATCAAGCTCCGCTGCGGCGGCTGCAATGAAGGTTCCCCCTCCTCGATACGACGAAAAGGCAGAAGATTCTCCCGACCTGCCTGACAGCAGCGACGAAGAGGCGCCGCCGCTGCCGGTTTTGCAAAAGCCCAAACTGTCTCCGAGAAAGGTCTCTGGCGCTAGCGGCCGCCTGGTGAAGTCTCAAACGGACGGTCATGGCTTGCCGTCCTCGGGGTCTCCTCGTGGAGGGCTTATGGAGTCATCCACGGCTCCTGTCGTCAACACCCGACCAAACCACGAACGCAGAGGCAGCTTCCTCTCTATTCTTCGGCGCAGAAAGGACTCTGATGCCGGGAAGATCTCTCGGCCCGCCGCTGGCGAGAGCGGTGCCAGGATGGACACGAAACTCGAGCGCAGCGCCTCGGAGATCTCGGCTCTCCGTGGCATAAACGGGTCGAAGCTCCAGAAGCTACCCATGGAGAACTGGCCCCTCGTTGAGGAGAACTTTGACGATGAGAAGCGCCCGATGACAGCTGATAACAACAAGCACGTGGACGCGTCCAGGCCGACGTTTATGAAGCGCCGTAGCACCAACCAGGTACTTACCTCAGGGTATCAAGAAGACCAAGAGAGCGTCCAGTTGGATCCCTCGGGCAAGAAGAAGAAGAAGTTTGGCACGCTCAGGCGCATGTTCAAGCTTGATGACTAGTCGTCCGGGGTATGCTGTTCAGTCAGCCTTCCTTACGCTACTTACTCATACTGGCCATCACACCGGCCGTCATTTTCGAATTTTGTGATTTTTCTCTTTTTTGGCATACGACACACACGACCCGCATTACAACGGAGTCGCCCGGCAAACTTACCTTTACTTAATACGGCGCAGTCGTCCACTTCAAGAGGCGTACTGGCTTTCTCACTCATTTACTACATCCAAAACCCACAAGTGGGAGCGGGCGTTTTGAAGGAGGCTTCTGGCATAGACACATGTGCAAAGGAGTCAAACTGGTACTTCCATACCACAACACACGCATGTTACAACACACACACACACTTAAGACAAGGCTTTAAGTTTCTTTACCTTTTTTTGTACGTTTATGAACAGTACCGCTTTACGAGAAGCGACTTCTGTTTCGAGGAACGGGAAAACACGATATGGGATACAGGAGTACCACACGCCAATGAGAGGTCCTCATTGAGCCCTTTGGAGGACAATGGAAGGCGGTGGAGAGAATGGATATATGTACAAGCACCAGGACTTTTTATCTTTTGTTACTTTTCTGTCTGTTATGATACCAAACACTAACTACGGGGTATTGTTCGAATGCAAAGATGTTGATTTCTTATTGAAACCATTTCATCCCATGGTGGTGATGTGTATTCCGTCCGGTTCGCTGTGATGAGGTGTGTGATAACTTCCCTTTCGATCTGATTTCGGTCTGAAGCCGACTTAATCTAGGCGGAATGAAGTAAGATCAACGGCACCTCAGCCGAGTGCAGATGAGAAGTGATGTTGAGGTTGTCCATCTTATTGGAAACTAACAGCCAAGGCTAGTTGACGGTGACGCATCTTCAACATGTACTATTGGGGTTTGTTCAATTCATTAAATAAGTGTCTCGGTGAGTGTGAGGAGAGTTTTAGGCCAGGTTTTACTTGGAATCACCTTCGCTGAGATACGGAAAGATGTCTCCTAGCTTACTAGATGTGATGGTGAATCCCCATGGCACTCGATGTCTAGTCCAAGTTGTTTCTTCCTCCTCTTCCTCCCAGCTACACCCAGCCTAGAACATTTTCAAACGAGCAGAAAGACTCGGAGAAGAAGGTAGGGAACCGTTTTGCAGCAATACCGTCTAGACAGCAGTTGACCATATGGTAAGAAGTCATTGGTCCAAGCTTCCCGCCCTTCCAGTTTCTATGCTCGTTGCGGTCAGTCTGCTGCTTCCTTTCCTCCGAGGTCCAAGCGGATGAAGGACTGAGGGCTGTGCCAGAGCTCACACCCTCCCCTTCCACGATGCCTCGGCCACGGAAGATTGCAACCTCAAAGTCTCGAGCGAGGTACATCGTTCTTTCAATCCTGCAGGTGCCCTCCATCTCCTCAATCATAGAGTGTAGGCTTCAGGGGCCCCTCTCCGCCCCGCCCACTACACTGCTGACACACAGCCTGACAATATCGGGAGGGAACGAGAGCTTCGGGTGGACAGTAAGAGCTTCGGGAGAGAGCCCATCTGTCAAGATCCAGCCTACGAGACAAGCAGAGCAGCAGTTGAGAAGCCGAGGATGCGGAGCAACTTGCTCGGCTCCTCCACCTCCTTCCCCCTTCCCGAAGAGACTTGCCGATCCGGAAATGTACATCAGGTACGTTGCGGACTCCCTCCTGAGAAAGCCGAGCCCAAAGTTCTCAGCCAGAGCAGAGACATCCGCAGCTGTCTGAGACCTTGAACCTCTTCCCCCATCACAAGAAGGCTTGTTCTTGACAGACGCGCTAGAAAACGGTCTGTCATCAACGGCCGATCCGTACGGGGGGGCCCGCGCTGCGAGAGAGAGAGAGGGGGGGAGAGAAAGAGATAGAGAGAACGACGGTCCGCATTGTTGCGCACAATAGCATTGTACCATTTCCCATCCCCCTTAAACCCCCGTCCCCCTGTCAGACGAGTGCTTCGAGAAGAAATCCAAACAACGTCATGGCGGGACAATACCCCAGAGTCCAAGCGGGCCTTGACGACTCATGGCTCAAACCCCCCTCATCGGTGTAGTAGCTTTACAGTCGGTGAGTGGCTTCTGAAGTAGTCATTGGCGTATTGATTCAAACCATCGTCCCACTCAATTCCACGTCGTTGAATGGGAACTCGCCTGACTGTATACTTGACTTGGCTTTTTCATTCCATCGCGTATCATCCGTCGGCCGGGAAAAGGCGGAGAAAAGAGACTATGTGTCCCAACGCTGTGCCTGCATCAGGCGGGCGTGTCGAAATTCGACTTCGTTAGCGTTACGTAGCGCAATGCTACTATTTGACAATGGTGTCAGGAAACTTCGGCTGTTGTCATATTTTACCTCATTCGGTGGTACAAAAGTTCATCTTTGGCTGGGTCAATGTCTTCCCACGAAACGGCCAACATGGGATGGGCTTGCCAGACGAGGAAATGAGGCGACAAAAGAGGTGATCTTCGTCCTCCATCATGATGTCGCGTGGGAGTGAGACGGGAACAGCGTTTCCACTCCCCCGAAAGTAGCAGCGGAGGGCACTTGTGTTCGGACTCTTCATCAAGTGATTAGCCAATGGCTCCATGTATTGTTGTTCTGGGGAGGAGTTGTGGTGTCGCAAGGTCGCGGCACCTGGTCACACGACGTGGTTCTCGGATGCTCCCCCGCATTGAATGAGATCAGAAGACCACGGGGACAAGGGGAAGTTGGGGAACGGAACGGGACCGCGAGGTCGGGAAAAGCAAGCTGCCCGGTCCGATATTGATTCCCCAGACTTTTTGTCTTAGCTACTCGGGCAGCGAGGCGCAATAGGGGCTGCAGAGCGCTTACAACAAGAGTCCTTTTGCATATGTAGTCTGGTGATGGAACATTCGCAGAGAGGCCTAAAATGCGGGTAAATGGAGCTCGCTGCAAAATTTTCTTTTGCACTTTTCTTTCCTTTGTCACCCACACACCTTCGATCCTTCGCAAAGATGGAGCTTGCGCCGGGAGCCGCCCCAGAGTCCCGCCAGCTGTCAGACATATCGACTCATGGCTAATGACCAGGTAGCGAGCGGTGAGAACACCGAGGACTTATCGGTGAACGGTTCGCCTCGGACGTCGAAGAACCATGACTGATACCCTGGGGTTTGGTGCACATTGTCTCGGCCAGCGCGAGGTTTGGACCAGTGGGAGATGCGCCGGCTCGCACGAGACCGAAATGATGGATTGCCGTGGCACCAGACAGCTCCATGGCAACTTTTGCTAGGGATAATCGTCCCTTGTCACTGCCATGGCAGACTGGGATACAGGGTATAGAAAGCCAAGTAAGGCACACCAAATCGAGACGGCGGCCGGAAATCGTCCCAACAAGATGGCCTGCGGGCTTGCTTCGGGATGGAAGGTTGACCGGAAGACGCAGTTGAGACAGCAAATCCAGGGCAGTGCTACGGGTACATAGCCCCCAAGTCACCGACACGAGCATGTCCAGCTCTGACCTAGACTGAGGTAGGCATCGTCTTTCTTTCTGTGTGCTGTCTCAAGCCGTGAGAAGCCGCGATCAGGGAAGAAATAGGAGCTCATGTGATATCCGCACGAATGGCTATTGGACTCGGCCGGTTCCTATCTGTCAATTCAGAATCAGAGAACAGGCAATCAACAGGTACAATTAAGCTGGGCCAGGGCTGGGGCTTGGGTGTGGCAGGTGGATGGTTGCCGGCTCCCAACCCCCAGGGGCGAACACCACCAGAGACGGACCAACTCACCAAGCCAAGGCACACACCAATTTGTTCTAGAACGCCATTTTCTGGGGACGTGGGGGCCGCATCCTTGCTGGGGTTATTTTCGCGGTTTAATCCCGGTGCGATGCGCTATTGCCCTATTCCTTGGGAGTGTCTGTAGACCGTAGGTGTAAGAGAGCTCCATACACAGTAAAGTGACTGCTGCAGGTCTACTCTGTTCGTCACTCAACGTGATGGATTATGGTGGCGAGCTGTGCCCGATGAGCGGTGCCTAGCAGTGAGGGGGAGGTCGATCAGATGGCGCCTCGTGAATATCATCTGCCAGTCGCCGAAAACGTGGTTATTGAAGACCGTGTCTGGTACTGTCCATCGTTGCAATGCCGTCCCGACTCCCGATGGCTCCTGTACGGGTATGGTGGCCAAGTTGCGCCGTCAGTGCTCACCGGGGAGCCTCGGTGTATTCGTTGCAAGCAGCTTAACGGAATTAAAACAGGCGCAGGTCGCAAGTTGCGGGTCGTAGCCGGGACGGTGCAGATAATCGCAGTCTCATCACAGGCGGTTGTGCGGCGAAAACATGGGTGGACCCGAGGACGATGAGATGTGAGATATCGTGGATGGCAGATGGAGAAGTTGATGGAGAACCAGATTTCACGGTCTAGAGCCTGATGGACCGAGGTACGTGTCCGATCTCTGATGTTGATGTGTCGACTTTTTGTTTAAGCTCTCGAATGCGCATGAAGTGTGGGCAAGAGGAGAGAGAGAAAGAGAGAAAGAGAAAAGCACATGCAGAAACGGGAGGTGTTGGTGGTTGTGGTGGTCGCTGTTTCGGGGAGGTACTTTTGGCAGAGGTTATCTCACACAGCATTGTCGGCAGAATTCGACATAGGCTCAAGTATCTAAAGTACCATCTCTACTCCGTACGGGCTACCTTGATTGCGGAACGGAACTAACGTCAGGTAACCTCCATCCACAACGGTGAGGCCGCGAACTAAGGTAGGAAGGCGGACGGACAGACAGATAGAGAAGCAACGCAATAACAGCCAGCAGGAGTATCGGCCCAAGTCACACCTGAATGGTGCGTAAGGAGCCTCGTGTAGCTTATCTTTTCCCTCCCTGCGCTTTATCAGTGCACCTGGTGTACCTTCCCGGTGGCTGTCTCTCACCAAAGATGCGTGGGTGCTAAGATCAAGGTACGTGGGACTGTAGTGGACTGGAATGCGCCGTTTGTTCCCGTTTTCCCGTTTTCTCCCTTGCCGTGCCCCCCTCCCAGCAGTTTAATCGGGTTCTACGAGGACCTAGAGCATCGTCCGTACGGATACAGTATGTGGTATCCGTACCCATTCACAACACCTTTTCCCGAACGGATTTTCCAGAGGAGAAGTATGGAACAAGGGGGGAGAGGGAATAGCAATCAACCATCGAGTCCACTCGGGAAATCACACCAAAATCCCAGCGTACAGGTAATGACCCGCTGCCTGTCGTCTCGCTAATAGACACCAGTGAGTCCTATCGCAGTGTCTCGGCCCCTTTACAGACTACCCTCCCTACTCCCTACAATGGCTGTTGATATGAAGTCTATGTTAAGGTACGAATATTCGTACTTCGAGTCTTTGGTCAACAACAGGGACTCGACACGAAAAAGGCCACAGTCTGTGCCATATAGGCCCAGGGCCCAGGCCATGCATGCAGTTCATATTTCATCCGAGAGAGAGCACCATGTAGTAAGGAAATAATGGCAGGGAGTCTGAAGTGCATCCATCCGTTCATCCCCAAGGTTATTTTGAGTTGCGTGGTTGTGCCGAGGCAGTCGAGCACTTCCTTCTGCTCAATGTTCATTCTTCAATATTCAAAGCAAGTGTCCGGACTCGGCGTTTCCTTGCCCTACCTCTGCGACTACTTCCATTTGAAAGTGAGTAAGGTAGTCCGTACTGTGTATGCGGAAATAATCCTTCACTTGCCATACGCAGCGTTCCTGTTCCTGTTCCTGTTTCCCCCCCGTCTGTCCCGACCCATGTTCAAGTACCCAACTCCAAGTCTCCAACTTCCCTTTCTCCTGGGGACCGGAAGTGAAGTGCCTGTTGCTGTGGCCCACTAAAGCTTAGACTTCAATGTCTTCTGCTGGCTCCACGAGGGTTTAATGGACGCCATAGATCACACAATGGACAATGAGCTTTCTGCCTTGCCCGACTCTGCGACTGGCAGAAGCAGGGACGTGTCTGGGATATGAGGCATCTGACTGAACCATGAACCATACAATACGGATACCTCACCTTGCTCCCAGCCTCTGAACCTTACACACCAAGTAGAAATGCGTATGGAGCAGTAGAGGATAGCTGGTCACTCCTCCTTGCTCTTAGTCCTTCCATCCCCGCCGGTGCCAGACAGGAACCAGTCGGGACGGAGCCATCGCAAGCACCAGCGCCGGCCCAAGCAGAGTCGGACGGAGACTTGTAGGGGGACGGGAACCACACTCTCACAGCCCTGAACGCCTGATGTGCTTGACTAGTGCAAAGGGCGGGCTCCCAGACTTTTCTTCCAGCCAGGGCACCTCACCTCACCCACCTCACGCGTCCATTCCTACGGTCTACCTACCCGTACACTGGTACCACGAAATATTCTAGCCCAGGCCAGGTACATTGGATAACACCATCCTCCTGTACTGGCCCCTGACCGCACACACACACACTGGACAGGCACTGCGACTGTGAATGTGGTCCAAGTCAGGCCAGGTACTTCAAGCTTAAGCCTCTCAAGTTCTCCTTCCAGGGCCCATTTCTTCCCATTCCGTCTCCGTCTTTTTGACTCTCTTCCCTGGCAAGCCCCTTCTCTCCCCTTTTCCGCCTATCTTCTGTTCTCAGGGTAATGTAAGGCGCGGCACCGTAATTCCAGTCATCCAGGGTACATTTACCATGCCTTAACCTCCGACTGGCCCTTCCCAACTTTGGAAGTCCCATCTGAGTCGGAAGCATTCCAATTTTTTTTCTCGCGCGTGCTCCATCCACGCCATCTCCCCTCATCCTCCTCCGCCTTTCGTCCTCTCTCTCGACTGGTGCCAATTCTCTCTCACACTCAGCATCAACAACAAAACAAGACATATTACGCCTTGACGCTCTTCACAGTCTCCGTAGGATAGACTCATAGTTGCTCTGCTCCGACCTACCAGCCCATTGGATCGCTCCGCGGACGCCAATTCGATAGCTGTGGTTCCCTCTCTCTGTCGACCTAGCTTCCTGGCAAACTTATCCTCCAACTCAGCCTACGTTACCATCCGCGGCTTGCATTTTCTATTGCCGGGCCCTTGACCCTACTTCACTTCACCTTGCCCGCTCTCACTCGGACTTGGAGACTCAAAGGCACCGTACCTCAACTCCCCGTATCTTGCCGATCGTCTCATCTCATCTCGTCATCGTCATCCAACGGCTGCTTGGGTTCGTATTTCTTTCCGCCGGCATCCCTTCCGGAGCCATACACGCGTTCCGACTCCTCTCGTTGTCGTTGACAAACGGACGGGCCACTGCCCGTATCACAACTAGTCCGCCATACCGTACCGCCCTCTCTTAACTCTGTTTCTCTTATGCCCTCTCACTCTCCACAACCCGACGACAAATCGAATCCGACCAAAACCCGCAATCCATGAAAACGGTCGTTTAGGGTCAGCCAACCCACAGCAACCTGGGGTTAACCGCTTCGTTCTTCACTCTCTCCAAGTCTTGATACACTTCTCATCACCGCCTTTCTCAACAAATCATCCGTCTGCCACACGCACGCAGACTACCGCAAACCGAGTAGCCAACCCAAGTTGCAGGTTGCCTCTCACTTGCAGCCATCTGCATCTTGTTTGCGTTCTTACACACTGGCCATCAAGCAAACCACATCCCAACCACGTCCGACTGAACCGTAGAGCAACGACCATGACCACCTCTCCTCGCTTCAGGTAAACTCACATCGTACCTAGCAAGATTGCCCTACACGGCGGGGCTATCTTTGCCTATCGTCAGTACCTCTGCGCACTCTCAACTTCTGTCATTTTCATCTCCAGCCGTCTTTGCCGTAGACCGTCTGGTCTCGGTAGAGAACACATTCGCTTCAAATGGATTTACCAAAGGGACTCGTCAAAGACGACAGGCGTATATATGAAGATGTTGCGGCCCTCACGCAGCCTCTTCCGCCGGATTTTATCATAAGAATGTGGCGTCGTAAGTAAACAGCCGCTCGCAGTGGCCTTTCACATGAAAATCTAACGTCACGTCATAGTCTACACCACAACAAACCTCAAGCTTGTTGATCCAACCGCACGTCGCTTAGAAAATTTGTGGTGGCATGTCATGGGCAGCGATAGAAGTCAATTGAAAGCTGCAACCGTGGCTAAGTTATGGGAGCACATCTCTTATGGCCCAACCTTTGTGCCTCTCAGAGGCTCACCAAACCGCTGGGAGGGACCTTCGGTATTTTAATGCCTCTCTCGACATGACTTGGCGCTGATTTTGCTGACTCTCTGCACAGACGCCTCGTTTTAACAGCCAGCACGAATCTGATCCGGTCCTCAGCGCTCAGCAGATGAATCAAGACATTAAGATGATCTCTGAACAATCGGCTCTGAAGGAGTTGTCTGCTTCGTCATCTCGACCCCCACCACCACACCCGATTCTCAAGAAACATAGAGGTGACTCGAAGTCGGGCCCTCGTCCGACAGCCCGGTTTGTGTCGCCTCACGAGTCTGCTGATGAAGACTACCAAACTAGTGATGAGACGTCGTCGGGAAGCACAGGCACCAGTGGCCTGGAGATGCGCACTTCATCGGCAGTGTCCCCAGCGAAATCGAGTAAGAAGAAACCCTCGACACCGACGAAGCGATTTGTTGCATCAGCGGCGAGCAAGAGAAGGCCAGTTCTACCAAGGAGAATGAGCTCGCAGTCGTCTACGAACTCCGACGTTGGAGTCAAGGAGACTGGTTCTGCCAACGGAGGGAAACACGTGGGAACGTACAACGTGATGCATCCTCATGCTGAAGAAAGTGCTATTATGAGCGTATCCGGGTCCGAAGGATTCGAGTTGCCGCCTCCTAGCGCCAAAGCCCTTGGAAAACGACC